TATTTTATATTTATTTATATATTATAATAATTATCATTGATTTTTTTTGATAATATAATATTATACCGGACTTTTACTTGCTTACTAAATTATAAATATCGGAATGCAATGAAAATAAAATTTAAAAACGCAATTAAAAAGTTAAATATAATTCAAAACTAAACTTACCTGTAACTGTCAGTACAGTTTCTACACTTTCACCACCAACAGAGTTATTGACAACACACAAATATTTGCCTGAATCATCTACCTTAGCTTCTCGTATTATCAATGTTCCAGAAACTTGTTTAATTCTATCATCCAATATCACGGCTTGCTTTTTGTTTGATCCTTCAATAAACTTGTACCATCTGTTCACAAATACACACATTATTAAATAACTGTGTGTTGTATCATAGTATATTTTAGAAGTGTGACTTTTTAAAAAAATTAACTGATTAATATTGATTGAATTCTGGTTTTAAATTTTAAAATATTTAAATTAGTAATTGGTAAATATTTAAAAGTCACATTTCTTTCTTGTTTAAATAAAAAAGGGCAGTTTATAAAATATTGGTTTGAAATGGATTTTTCACACAAATTAATAATTAAGATTAATATTGATATGAACTTTTAGGTATTTAGAATTATGATAATTTATTAAAAACTTTTATAAATAATTAATATAAGTTTTTTTTAAAACTTAATATGTTAAAATTAAAATTATCTAAATAAATAAATAAAATTCATTAACTTGGTTTTTTTCATTTTTTTTTTTTTAGCTAAGTCAGAGACAACAACAGCTTGACAATTATACAAAATTAACTTAGTTAGAATTTTGAWTTGTGTGATCATTACGGTTAAAAAATGTAAAATAATAAACATAATTTATCAATTTTTAATTTATAGAATAAATAAACCGATAATTACAAACAAGTTTATATTACTATTTTTTTTTTAAATAAAAATTATTTGTTTGCATTATTGAAATGTAACAATCATACACTATTAAATAAAACAAAATAAATATTAAATGTGGAGAAATCTCATACATTTTTTTATAAACCTACATATTGTGTAATGTCTGTTAATACCTATATTTTATATAAATTTCCATTTGCCAACTGAATTACTTAAAAGAATAAGTATCAAATATCAATCACTACACAACATAGACTTAAGGAACTGGGTATTCTTGAATGGGATAGAACTGCTGAATTATATCAAACACTAGTCACTTACATATTTTATGTGAATTATTCGATTAAGAACTTCTGCTTGTAACTCTACCACTCCAGTAGGATAATTACCAATTTATCACTGAACATTTGAATAGAAATAAAGACATAAAGTATATTTGAACACAATTTATAACTTACTCATATTTGGGAATGGGAAAACCTTGACCAGGGCACAAGAGTACGGCTTGTCCATTAGCAATAAAATGATTACCTTCAAAACGTTCTTTAGAAACTTTTCCAGCAATATTTGAACGTGGTTCTGTAATTTTGGGCTTTTTATTTGAATATTTTTATGTATGAAATATTAGGAAAGGGAACCCCAATCAAATAATTATGAACACATTAAAACACATGGATTTTAGAAGAATTTGTACAATATGTAATATTGCTCTTAATAGTACCAAGACTAATTTCAACTATTTTATAGGTACCCTTTTAAAATAAATATTATTACATACCGAAATATAGGAATGGGAAACCCAATCACATTGCAAACAATAAAGACATTTTTTTTAAAACCWGTTGTTATTAATTTTCCTCCTTCATATTTTTCACCRGGAGCTTTTGGAGATAAATTTCCTGTAGGTTCTGTAAATTTATTTAAACGAAGTGATTTTTATAGAATAGGAAATAAAAATAAAATTAAAGATTACAAAAACCAAAATGTTAGGTTTTTTTTAGTTTTATAAGCTCAATATAATCTCGCTATTTAATTAATACATAAATATAATATAATTTTTTGTTTAGGCGTAGGGTTAACCCTAATTATTTATACAATATACATATTAAATTGCAGAGAATCTAATGTAAAATATAGAATTTAAATGTGATAATACAGTGATTGGCATTTCACTTAACCATATAYTGGTTACACCACACACAAATATTATACTCAGTTTACATACCGAAAATAAGGAACAGGGAATCCCTGAGCTGAACAMACCATTGTTATATGAGTTTCAATCAAAAATGGTTTTCCAATTAAAATGGCAAGTTCTTCTTTTTTAATTTTTGGTGAAATACTTGTTTGGGGATCTAAGAAAATGACATGTATGGATATGAGAATATAAAGAAATTATCTGATGAAATAAATATAGTTGTCATCAATATCTTAATGAAGCCCGAAATATAATTAATACATTATTATTTGTTGTCATTTTAAAATTAGTTTATAGTTAGTGATACAATTTAGTTCTATAAATCTACCTGAAAACAGGTACTGGATGACCTTGAGTTTCACATGATAATACAATATTTTGTCCAAAAACCCCGTCAACATGGTCAAATTTTGATTTTGTTGGTACTTTAGGAATCATTGTTCCTATTGGATCTGTTCAAAAAAACCATTCATTTGGTTTAATATTTTTATTTATTTGATGTGCACTGTATTTGATGGTAGTATCGTACACATTGAAATAATTTCAAATAGGTATATTACTTAAAAACATTGTAACCACAAGGAAAAAAAAATTATAAAAGGGAAATTAAAAATCATTAGTCAAAAACGTGTTAAAGAAATCATAAGTTTAAATAATAGTTCATTTTTTTATTTTTTTTAAGTACTTTTTATAACCTTTAAAACKTTGGGTATTGCGATTAAAAACTGTAAAATAAAGTWAGTTATACATTTTTACTGTACCTAATCATTTATTATTTTAATAGTTCTGTAACGTAATAAACCGAGCTCCTTAGAATGGTTTAATTATTATACCTATTTTAAATATGATTCATCAACTCATTCAAATTTATAGGTAATGATAATTGATAATACACAAATATAATTTTTTGTGAAGGTGTATGTGACAAGCGAGTGCTAAAAACATGGGGTTTGGGGTCTATTAAGGATTTCTTTAGATCTTCTTATTACYTACCTATTTATTTATTAATATGTTACAATGTTATTTAATACTGATAAAACTAATAATACAAAAGTAAATTAAAAAGTAAACAGAATTTTGATATCATCATTATTTTGGGAGATATAACAATGGGTAAATCCTCACAAGACACCCTGTATATTATTACTGTATAAAATACTGTAGAGTTTAGATACTAAATAAATTTATAATTTTAAACATTATTTTTGGGTTTATAGTGGTTAATATTTTAAAACACCACGTCATACTCCTAATTAATAAAATAATTAAATATTATACCTAAATATTGGGAAAATGAAATTACAAAGTAACCAATATTCT